AAGAGCGGAAGGTTAAGTTTTAACGGATTGATGACATCATATTACTCAGAGGGGCTGATTTGCCACTAAAGACGAGTTGAGGGGTTCTTTTACGCGTGAACTGACTTGAGGGGTTTATCTGCCACTTCATGACAAATTGAGGGGCTATTCTGCATGTTTTGCCATTCTGCTCTTCTTCTCCTTTCTTCCCGCTGCAGCCACCCGAAAGAAAGAAAAAAAGAGGAACCCAGCCATGCTTTGAGAAACCGGTGAGAAAGCTTGGAGATTTCTCCTTCCTTCTTGCTCTAGAACACACCTAGAACCCAGAAATCTTCCCCCCCCCTGCTGGAAAAGCCAGATCTGCCCTGCTCTGCTTTGTCCTTCCGCCGGCTGCTCCTGCTTTGTGGGTGTGATTTGCTCCGGTTTTGGGGTAAGAAACAGCACCTAATTCCTTTGTTCTTGCTTGAATTGGCTTGGGTTAACTTTGATTGCTCTTATTTCCTTCAATTTTTGAGGTAGGCCGTGAGCTTCTTCTCCAAATTGCCGCCGGCTTCTCTCCCAAACTGCAGCTCGGTTTTGCTTGCTAAATTATGGTATGTGACAGCCTTTTAAGGCTTAAATTGTCCATTTAGTTTGCTGCCTTGTGTGTCCGAATTTTGCTAGAAAAATGGGGGAATTCCGGTAGCTTTAGGACCATGATTTAGCTTAATTGAAGTGGGATTTATGTGATTGAGTGTTAATGGACTGCTATGTGATTTTTGGAGGAAAATCCCGTGAGATTAGTTAGTGTTTTGGCCAATTTGTGGGAGTTGAGTTACTGTTCACGTCGGGTCACTGTTCACCGGTTACTGTTCACACCCCGAGGGCCAACATTTAACGGGAATTTAAATGATTAGTTTGTGATATGAGAACGAATTTGGAGATATTTGATCATGTGGAGATTGATAGGAATAGCATCGGGATTAAGAGTGATTTTGATGATTTCAGTTTGAATGTGTGATAGTCCGGTATTAATTCTGAGATATTTTGATTAGGTTCTCGATCGTTCTGTCAATTAGCACTGAGATTGAGTGCTCGGTTTTATGCGAGTGAGGTAAGTAAATTATGGTAACGCCCTTTGATTTTAAAAGCATGTTTTGATTTGTTTTTGAAGTGGTGGCGGGACTAAACCCGTTTTACACAAGTATGACTGATTTGAAGTGAAATGTTTTATGCTTTCACTAAATTGAGCATGCCTACTTGAAATTTAAGTGATTGTCCTGATGATTTGAAAGTGATTGTGAATTGTGATTTTCGTGTTAACTTCTACCTGTTTTGTCTCCGATGTGGTCATGTTATTCGTATGCCCGCTAGTGGGAGGTTTATAAACGCTAGCACATGTCGACATGTTACTGATAGAACCGGTTCGTTTCTGTAACCCTACTAGTGGGGGTTAAACACTAGTAATTTCTGTAGCCTGTCAGTGGGAGGTTTATAACACTGGCCGTGACCTATAGAAGAGACGTCTATTTCGTGCCCGTACTGTATCTGTTTTCGTGATTGTACTTGTTGGCATGCTTTAAGTTTGATAAGGGGCACTCCATATTTACTTACTGAGTTTATCTCATAGTTTTTCTTTGTCCACCATTTCAGGAAGTGAAACCGAGGACGGGGAAACCACGGGAAGTGACGAGTTAGAAGGCTAACCATATTGTAATTGGATATAAATTTTAGATATGAATCATGATCTTGTATTTGGAGATTTATGATATGAGAGAATATCTTATAATTTGATCTTCAGATTTTGGTGGTATCAGAGTGTGATATGATAAGTTTCGAGCCTTGTGCACTTGTGGGACCCGTCTCACGAGTGTACGGCGTCTGTCGCATCTCGAAATTGGGTTTTGGGGCGTGACAATAAAAACCCAAAAGATAATCTCACACTTTTCTAGAAAATCCTTTATACCTCAAAAGAAGTTCATACACTTTCAAAGAAGCCTTTATGCTTTATACCTTACAATCTCGATATTAATATACATATGACCTCATAAAAATTATCAATAGGATGCATGTGCATCAAAAATAAGTGATATAATAAGCAAAATAAAGCTTATTATTGCTAGAGAAATCAACCTCTCACTAATGAAAAATATCAAAAAAATCCTCATAGATGACTAATAAAGTTATAATCTCTTAACCAATAAATTAATTAACACAATCATAATAAT